AGAGGAGTATTAATTGCGAGTATTTATCTAGATTGCGTAAATGATAGCATTATTGTCATTGTTCAATCATGTACATAGAAGCATATTTGATTTAATTAACAGGAATCTCAACTTAGGCTTGTTCTGGATTTGGTGAGCTTACTCGCAAGTCTCAAACGCTGGTAATGATCGAGTTAAAGGTCGTTACAATTTAGAAAAGGAAATCAATCTAAACATGTTATACTGTTGTAGATAGTCAATTTTGGTTAATACCTATTACCTAAAAAACCTATTTTATCGCATAACATTATATAAAGAAAATAAAAACAACCATTACAAATGAAGCACTTCACGCAGAACAACTAAAAAAAGTTAACTACTTCTTCACATGGAACAACTAGAATAAATGGAGCATTACTCCATGTGGAACAATTAATACAAGTAGAACAACTACTTCGCATAGAAAAACTTCATAGAGATGACAATGAAAGGATACCAAAATAAGTGACAGGGTTCATGGGTTACTTTCATATTGGAATGTTTAGAGAGTTTAGCTTGGTGACTCAAATGTAGAGGTCGTTAAGAGGTCTCTTTCTTAACTTTTTCTTGAGGTACAAGTGTTTACTGCTTTTACCTTATTCTCTTATAGTTGTTCACATGTAGCTTCTTCTCTTTTACATTTTTACATACAGCTTCTTCTCTTGTACCTGTTCACATATAACTCTTCTTTGCTAGCTTCTACTAGAAAATAATCACATACAACTGTTCTTTGTTAACTCTTACTCGAAAATAAGTCTTATTAATTATAATTACTTTTACAATCACATAATGGGTTTCTAATCGTTACTCGACATTAACTCTCAGTAATGGTTACTTAAAATTAAAACTCTCCTTAATAATATTATTCATCATGTGCATTAAAGCCTTTTCTTGTAACCGTTACTTTTGGCACTATGTATAGAATCTTCACAATTCATTGAAAGGACTTTTCACTTTCAAAACTACTTGACTCTCACTCAAAGCTTCTCTTTCTAGCCTATTTTCACTCAGAACATTTATTCTCTTCTTGTTCCCTTTCATCTATCATGATACTCAGTACTTCAAGAACTACTCCAATCTTCCTCTTTGTTGCCTCCAGTACATCCCTT